TTATTTTATACCACAAGTGTTCTTGCCTAATACCAGCAATGTTTTTGTCAGTTCTCATGAGAAATTACTATAAGACTATTTATAGTTTATTTTGGTAATTTTTTTTTTTTTTTACATATACTGCTTGTATGGGGGGAAAAAAGTGTTTTCACTTTAGATAGTGGAAACAATGGACATAAGATGTTGAAAGTTAAAAATGTAACAAGCATGTTCCAATAAACAACAATATTTGCATCAGCCCAAAGGTTTCGAATCAGCAGCAGACTGGAATTTAAACATTGGATTTGTTTAATCCTATGCGATTTTTTGAAGATCATAAATATAAAGAGAGATAGTATTAAAAAAATTAGAAAGCCATCTTTTCATCAACAATCATAGAGTATATAATTTTTTCAAACTAAACAAAGTCACTTCATGATACCTCAAGACATACATGTATACAAATATATGGAATATATGGGGTGGGGGAGAGCTGGAAAAAAAATGCACATATGCAAATATATATGGAGATAGTGCTGAAAAATTCTTGGTCTGACCCACTTCCAAAAATCTCACCAAACATCAGAATTCATTTTGGAATGCCATTTCATCAGGCCATGAACTTTAACACACACACACACACACACACACACACACACACACACACAGCTATTAAACAAACAAATTCAGTTGAAAAATATGAAGCCATTTACCTTTCATTCTTTTTCAAACCAGTATCAGGACAGTAACGATAAGAGCATTTACCATTGGAGTTACAAAACTATGTTTAGTTAAAATGATGAGACTTGATAAGTGTCTTGTATTAAAGTACAAAATACTAATAGTGTTGAATAATAAAATAAAAAAAAGAAAAAAAAAAGCGGCTTTAAATTTTTTAACATGAAGCTAAACACTGCAGAAATGAAATATTCCAACCAAGGACAGATGAAGTAGGGAGAAAAATGCTGGCAGTGCAAGTGACTTGGGCTGGGGGAACCAGGCTCTTTTGCATCAGATAACATCAGCAAAGTCATACATGAGTTGACAATGAAGAAACAAGATAGAATTCATTATGTTCATTTTTTTTTTTTTTTTTATATATAAGCATATTGTTAATCTCAAAATAAACCTCCAAATTTTAATACTGATTTTCTTTCTTATTGCTTATTCTTTTAAGATCCAAACTTAAACTATCATAGTACAAAAATGCTGTGCTTCCCTTGCTCTGAGGCCAGTGCAATAAAGGATTCTTTTTATAATCTTTCAATTTGGCAAAGAGAAATTAATCATGAATTAACCAAAATGAAAGAATGAAATATTTATTGCTTTGATAATTACTGTTCTGCAGGAATTTTGAGGCACCTGAAGAGAGCCATAACGAGTTGGAGAGTACTTTGTATTTTGGGGAAACAAGTTTAGTACAAAAGCTGGAAGGAATTCTTTTGTAAAAGTCAATAAAGAGATCAGATTTTATTTTCATAAGTTCTCTGTGAATTATTTCCACATTTTGCAAACGGATAAAAACCTTTCCGTCAATAACTACTGATAACAGGATGTTTCTGTTGTTCTGCTTTACTAACTGAAAATTAACTTTAAGCGATACAATGTCCAACATGTTATTCTGAAAAATATACAGTTATATAATAAATATCTGATCACTCAAAACTTTTGGTAGATCAGGTTAATATTTCAATGGACATTAGTTCTAGAAATTTTCTCTATCGAGAGTTCAAAATTGTTAGGCATGCCAACCTAATGTTTTCTTAAAAACAAAAATGTTGATTGAAATTGTTTCCATTTGAGAACTACGAGAAAAAAAATATTTTAAAAAGTGTAAGGTTTACGATGTCAAAAATGGCTAAAAGAACAAAATCTTATGATACACATAAAAACAGTAGGTAAGAAAATTTATCTATGTGCATAGATATACAAAAATATTAGGCTTTTAAACCAGTCTATATATATATATATAAATAAAGTGAAACGTTTTGTTGTCATAGTTTCACTTTCATTGTTTGCCTTAATAAAGTCAGAAGACAAAATGTATTGGCAAAAAAATAAGATTTTTTTCCAATTGTCATTTTTATACCAATTTGTCTTATCCACAGAATTATTTTGGGAAATTTAACTTATATAATAAAGAAAAATAGGAAATGTTTATCAATCTAACATGTTTCATTTTTATTAAAGCTTCATCATAGAATGCGATATGGAGAAAAAAGAAATTCTAGTATTTTGGCTTTACTAGAATTTCTTTTTTCTCTATCTCTCATTCTCTGAAGTTTTAATAAAAGTAAAACATGTTAGATTGATAAATACTTGTTCTTTATTTTATTTTGTTGAATTCTGATCTATATTTGATATATATGTATGAATGAGAGTGGTGTATCAAATCAAGACTTTTACTAATTAAGCAAATTTCATTATATGAGGCAGTAAAGGGAGAAAAAAAACATTTCATTTAGTCAGCATTCACAAAAATATAGTGTAACATTATTATTTTGACTATAAACATAAATAA